ATTAACATAAGAATAAAAAAAAAAAAGAAGAAGAAGAAGAAACCCTAAAGTTTGATCATGAGATTCCAGCAATTCAGTCCCATCATCAGGCTCCACTTGTCATTCTAGTTCTCTTGCTATTCCCACCACATCTGCAGTCAACTTCTTCCAACTGAAGTTTTTTGTTTTTGTTTTTTGTACTCCACTGAAGTCTTGAACCTTCGATTTGTAAAAAACATAATATCTGCAAAGCACAATGCCTGTAATGCATAACACAAAGTGCAAGATCTGACATTGTCAGGTTTCTGGTTCCTAATCAAAGAACTCAGTTACAAAATTTAAAATGCAATAATTAAAAATTTCATACATGCATAAACATACATACATATGCACATATACACATATACACACACACATCCGTAATCTTAAATTCGGATGTTCAACATCATGGAACATGCTGTAGGTCAGCAAAAGTGGACACAGTTTAGGCAAAGGATTTGGCTTACTTTGACATGCTTTATTTATTTGTGTTGGCTACATGGTCCCTCTTGGTTTCTGAGTTGCAATGTCTGGTCCAACTCATGTATCTACTATGGTAGCACCAAGATTCTTTAAATGGTCATATATACTTATAAGCTGCCTTAGGTTCTTTCTGGAAAGAGATGGAGGGTGGAAAATGATGGATGGATGGGTGGATAGAAAGGTAGATAAATAGCAAAAGTGCATTTCAGTCCCACTTAGACATACAGAATATACAAATTGTTTATACTTCTATATCTCTAATTACTATGTTGAGCTCACGATTACAGCATAGAAAGGAAATTTTAAGCTCATTTTAAGGTCTCTTCCCCTTTTCTGCAGTGCTGTGGCTCAGTTGTGAGGACCTTATACAGAATAAGACATGGGGTTGCAGGAGCACACCATTCATCACCACAGGTTTTTACTGAGACTCTGTGGTTCAGCGTGGTCCTCAGTTAGTAGTCCATTCAGGTTGCTGCTGAACTGCCACTTTCTGTTACTTAAAGGCTGGAGAATCTCCTCACAGATTCTGGGTCCTGTGATGAATCATGGGGACCATCTTCCTGCTGCCAGATCATCCTGGACATGGTGATCTTGTTGATTGTCTGTGTCTCTCTCTCATCTTGATCTGCCTACAGCCAGTCCTTCTCTCTGGCTCTGTCTTTTGGGTGTAGGTTCTATTCCCATAAATCTCTCAGGATCTTGCCACCTCTCTGGGACTCTTCCCAGAAAACAGGATATCAGCTTATCTGTGAAGTCCACCTACTTCTTTGCCTTCATCATATCTGCTCTTTCTCTACATCTTCCCAGGCTGAGAAACTTTTTTTAGTTATAGAGGGAATGTTCTCCTCTGGTATTGCTCTTCATACATTTTAGATGCATCTGCAACAGTTTTGTACACCCACAGTTCTGAGAATTTTAGAATCACAGCAAAGAAGTGGCTCTTAAGAGATTTTGAGTTTCTCACACTGTGCCATTCCTCCACCAAGGTGAAAAATACAGTAACTGGGTGAAGAGGGTTCAGAGGAGTGAGGAAGAGATGGGGGGAGCAAGAGGAGAAACAGAAGACTTGTAGAACATAAGAAAAGGAGTGGAGAACCACTGTTCTGGAATGTAGTATTTAAAAATCACTCCAGATGGTTTGAATAATTAACTAGTCAAAGGGTAGATTTGCCAAACATCTGGGTGATGATCCTAACTGGCCTTTTCTGGTATCTGCTCATTCTACAACATTGTTACAATTAAAAGTTGCAAGGCTGTAAATACCCTCATTCATGACTTGCCTTCCTTGAAAACAAATTTCTGAAACTTATGGGTGCTTTTTCAACAGATTATTCATTTGATTGCCTATACACATTCCTTAGTTGGTTTATCTGAGATGTCTTTATGGAAATGAACTCTTCTCAGGATTATTTCCTCCACTGCCAAGTTAATGTTAAGCATTCCATCACCAGTTTTGAGTTGCTTAACCATGGTGAGGGTGATGATTTTCTCCATCCGTCTCCCCACTCAACCATTCAACATTTGATGGGCATCTACTGTATGCAAGGAAGTGGGAATACAAATAAGGATAGAATACTGTGACTGCCTCCAAGCATTCAGTCTACTGAGAATGGGATACCTGTGCATAGACAGTTACAATGTGACATGGGCTCTAGTAGAAGTAGGCAAGGAGTTTTAGGGGATCATTGAGAAGCTGAAGCTGTACCTACCTCAAAGATAACAGAAATGTCAAAGAGCTTGTTATTCTATCTCCAACTACTAGAAGGGTTTCGGTACTCTTTTGCTCAGGCAGTCACAGCCATCCTAAAGATATTTTATCCTTACCAACTACCTAACATCTTCATCTGTTTAATTTTGAACTTCAGATGCAAGGGATTGAGTTAATCATGGGTCATTGAGTAGTTCATCAATCCATTACCTAGTCACTTGTGAGGCTAGGCCCAGCAAGCTAGCAGGAGCCAGAGACACCCAGACACTGGAATTGTAGCTCTAAAAGAAAAGATTAATCTCTATTACACATCACTTGATTTACCACTTTATTCCACAAAGGATTGGAGGCAGGTGAGAGTTAGATCCTGGACTCACCAAGGTTACTGGTAATCCTTCCTGGGTCATCCATTTGCCTTGATTTGAAACCTTTGAAAAGAACACATACCTTGCAAACACCAAGGATGTTATATTGCTTTGGACAGAAACTTTAATTTCTGAAAATCTGAAATGTGTCTAAACAGAAAAGGATCATCAGCTTAATTCAGAACATTTTAGAGCTAAATGATTCTGCCTCCACTTTCTTACTACTTTTCTATTCTCTCCCACTGCCCCATTTCAGTGTCACCTCATCCTCAGAAATTTGCCAGCTTAAGTTTTGAGCCATGTTATGTTTCCACTATTTCTCCATTTGGAGGACCCTCCCCTGTGAATTAATTAGGTGACATCAGTTCAGGAAATAAATATTTTTCCAGAAAACAATGTTGCTTTCTTTTTGATCATGTCATGAAAAGTATAACTAAATGAAAATGAAAAGCAATGAGACAGCTTTCAATTCATGATCATCTGTTATAGTTGCTTATGTGTCTGTCAGCCTTGTGAACTTGGGTTCTGGGGGAAGGAATGCAGATTTTGGCATCAAGTAGCTTTACTTTATTTCCCAGTATAGTGGTGTATGAGCTGTGTATCTTAGATAAGTGACTTAGTCTGAGCCTCAGTTTTCTCATCTGCTAAACCAGGAATAATAGTGGCCTTGTGCTTCCTGCTTCCTTTGTACATGACATCTCCCTCTACCCATCAAGCCCCTTCTTTCTGTTTTCTTTCCACTTAATGTGAATTGTACCCATCCTTGAAGATCAAGGTCCAGGCACCATTTCTTCAACTGCTCCAACCTACTGTAATCTCTGCCCCCTTTGAACTCTTTATAATAAATAGATACTCTCTGTCTACTCAGTTAGCCCTTATACTCACTACCTTTGTAAAACATTATTATTCTCAGGAAGAAAGAAAAAAAAGCCAAAGAGGCAGATGGTTGTTTTGTTTTGTTTTGTTTTCCAAAAAACTGTTTTGTTTTGTTTATTTTCCACCAGTTTTCTGGTTCAGGCATCTCCCTCTACATTCTTGATTTTTCAGCAGTAGACTTCCTGGGTACCTCTTAGACATTCCATTGTGAGTTTTCTATCCATTTAGCTAGTTCTACTTTGAAAGAAAAAAAAAAAGAGGTAAAAACCTACTGCTACTCCCCGAGGGGAGTAGCAGGCTCTTCCTGGCTATTTTCCTTATCTTCCACTGGACCAGGAGAATTATGAGTTTTCCTGCAACAACTAAGATCAGCATTGCCATTACTGCCAAATGACAATGTTGGAAAACACAACACATTGGGCAAACAAAAGACCTAAGTTGAAACTTAAGTCTTTTCACTGCTGCTTACCTTCAGCAAAAACCTTCTCCAAATCATTGCTGACACTGCAGCCAATGCTGTTTCCTCTTCCCAACACTGTGACCAGACCCTGGAGTGAGCTAAAATGGTCATCCAGAAGCTCCCCTCCATTTCCATGCCCTTTCCCAGACTATAAACAACTTGTTCACTCTGGACCTGAATCTGGTCCTATTCCACTTCCATCTGGGACTGCCTTGCACCATTACCTTGGAAAATGGAGTGTTCCCTTTGAATAGGCATTCCTGTGATGCCTGGTCCTTACTTACAGACAGTGGTCAACAGTGTGTTCTGGATTGTATTGAAAAGGATGTCATCATCCCATTACCTCCAGATGCGTTGTTATCTTTCACTCTGCCTATCATCAACAAGCTCATCATTTATTTCATTTTTATCTTTGGCCACCATATACTTCCTCTAAATCATTTATATTTTTGTCATGGGGTGTGTGGAGCCAGGGCCTAATTTATTTCTTCCTCAGAGATATAAGAACCTATTAAGAACATAGCATTCTCCTGTGTATATTTACCAGTTACTACAAATACTGCATTTTCCAGGATAGCCTATGAATCTAATATTTTGTCTAAGCTTATATGCATATTCTTGTTTATATGTACCACTTTGAGGTTTGGAGAATAAGGTTGTCAGACTCTGATCCCAACTTTTAAGGAACTGTCCATTTTATGGTTCTATGCAAAACCACAAAACAAAAAGTAGAAGATTGTAAATAGAGGGTGTCAGGCTGATTAATAAAGATAAGAGTACTGTGTCATTTCAGAGCTATTTAGTGTCAGGAAGGTACGGAAATCTCTTTGAAGTGATATCACAAGTCATGGCCTTAGCAGAGTATTCTATCCATTCACATTTTTGAAGTTATAGACTTGTTAACATCTTTTTTATTTTTATTTTTTTCATTTTCACTTGAACATACATTTATTTATTTATTTTATTTAAATTCAATTAATTAATATACAAGGTATTATTTGTTTCAGGGGTACAGGTCTGTGATTCATCAGTCTTACATAACCCAGTGCTCACCACAACACATACCCTCCCCAGTGTCCATCACCCAGCCACCCCATCCCCCACCTCCCTCCCCTCCAGCAACCCTCAATTTGTTTCCTAAGATTAAGATTCTCTTATGGTTTGTCTCCCTCTTGTTTCTTCTTGTTTCATTTTTTTCTCTCTTCCCCTATGATCCTCTGCCTTGTTTCTCAAATTCCTCATGTCAGTGAGATCATATGATAATTGTCTTTCTCTGATTGACTTATTTCACTTAGCATAATACCCTCTAATTCCATCCATGTCATTGCAATGGCAAGATTTCATTTTTTTTGATGGCTGTGTAATATTCCATTATATATATATACCACTTATTCTTTATCCATTCATCTGTTGATGGACATCTAGGCTCTTTCCACAGTTTGGCTATTGTAGACATTGCTGCTATAAACATTGGGGTGCACGTGCCCCTTTGGATCACTACATTTGTATCTTTGGGGTAAATACCCAGTAGTGCAACTGCTGGGTCATAGGGTATCTCTATTTTCAACTTTTTGAAGAACCTCTATACTGTTTTCCAGAGTGGCTGCACCAGCTTGCATTCCCACCAACAGTGTTGAAGTGTTCCCCTTTCTTCACATCCTGTCAACATCTGTCATAGTGTGAGGTGGTATCTCATTGTGGTTTTGATTTGGATTTCCCTGATGCCGAGTGATGTTGAGCAGTTTTTCATGTGTCTGTTGTCCATTTGGATGTCTTCTTTGCAGAAATGTCTGTTCATGTCTTCTGCCCATTTCTTGATTGGATTATGTGTTCTTTGGGTGTTGAGTTTCATGAGTTCTTTATAGATTTTGGATACTAGCCCTTTATCTGATATGTCATTTGCAAATATCTTCTCCCATTCTGTCAGTTGTCTTTTGGTTTTGTTGACTGTGTTCTTTGCTGTGCAAAAGCTTTTTATCTTGATGAAGTCCCAATAGTTCATTTTTGCCGTTGTTTCCCTTGCCTTTGGAGATGGATCTAGCAAGAAGTTGCTGCAGCTGAGGTCATAGAGGTTGCTGCCTGTGTTCTCCTTTAGGATTTTGATGGACTCCTGTCTCACATTAAGGTCTTTCAACCATTTGGAGTCTATTTTTGTGTGTGGTGTAAGGAAATGGTCCAGTTTCATTCTTCTGCGTGTGGCTGTCCAATTTTCCCAACACCATTTGTTGAAGAGACTGTCTTTTTTCTATTGGATATTCTTTCCTGATTTGTTGAAGATTAGTTGACCATAGAGTTGAGGGTCCATTTCTGGGCTCTCTATTCTGTTCCATTAATCTATGTGTCTGTTTTTGTGCTAGTACCATATTGTCTTGATGACTGCAGCTTTGTAATAGAGCTTAGAGGCTATTGCGATGCCACCAGATTGGTTTTCTTTTTCAACATTACTTTGGCTATTTAGGGTATTTTCTGGTTCCATACCAATTTCAGGGGAAGAGAAATAATAAAGATTAGAGCAGAAATCAATGAAATAGAAACCAAAAGAACAGTAGAACAGATCAATGAAACTAGGAGCTGGTTCTTTGAAAGAATTAATAAGATTGATAAAACCCTGGCCAGACTTATCAAAAAGAAGAGAAATGACCCAAATAAATAAAATCATGAGTGAAAGAGGAGAGATCACAAACAACACCAAAGAAATACAAACAATTATAAGAACATATTATGAGCAACTATATGTTGACAAATTAGACAATCTGGAAGAAATGGATGCATTCCTAGAGACCTATAAACTACCAAAACTGAACCAGGAAGAAATTGAAAACCTGAACAAACCCATAACCAGCAAGGAAATTGAAGTGGCAATCAGAAATCTCCCAACGGATGGCTTCCCAGGGGAATTCTACCAACATTTAAAGAAGAATTACTACCTATTCTGAAGCTGTTTCAAAAAATCAAAATGGAAGGAAAACTTCCAAACTCTTTTTATGAGTCCAGCATTACCTTGATCCCAAAACCAGACAAAGACCCCATCAAAAAGGAGAATTACAGACCAATATCCCTGATGAACATGGATGCAAAAATTCTCACCAAAATACTAGCCAATAGGATCCAACAGTACATTAAAAGGATTATTCACCACGACCAAGTGCGATTTATTCCTGAGCTGGAAATTGGTTCAACATCCACAAATCAATCAATGTGATACACTACATAAATAAAAGAAGGGACAAGAACCATATGATCCTCTCAATAGATGCAGAAAAAGCATTTGACAAAGTACAGCATCCTTTCTTGATTAAAACTCTTCACAATATAGGGATAGAGGGCACATACCTCAATATCATAAAAGCCATCTATGAAAAACCCATAGTGAATATCATTCTCAATGGGGAAAAACTGAGATCTTTTCCCCTAAAGTCAGGAACATGGCAGGGATGTCCACTATCACCACTGTTATTCAACATAGTACTAGAAGTCCTAGCTTCAGCAATTAGACAACAAAAAGAAATAAAAGGCATTCAAACTGGCAAAGAAGAAGTCAAACTCTCACTCTTTGCAGATGACATGATCCTCTATGTGGAAAACCCAAAAGACTCTACCCCAAAATTGCTGGATCTCATACAGGAATTCAGTAAAGTGTCAGGATATACAATCAATTCACAGAAATCAGTTGCATTTCTATACACTAAAAATGAGACAGAAGAAATAGACTTTTGTTAACATCTTAAAAGATATGTTTCCTTGAAGTTGGGGGCTTGAAGGACCTGGAGGAGGATGTTCTCTGCATGGTGAGTCTACTTTCTCAGGCCTGCAAGCTGAGAGTCTGAGCTGGCTGGTGTGGCTCAGTGTGGCTCACATGGGGCTGCACAAAGCATCATCAGTAGGGAATCATGTGCTTCAGCTTCCTGGTGTGAAGCAGAAGCAATGACAGAGGTGCTAAAGGCTCTAAGATGACTTCCTCATTGGGAGGGTAAGATCCAGGGTGAGTCAGCTTCCTTTATCCCAACACCCCTGACCCCACTTCCTCTTGGCTAGTAAATCACATAGCATGCACAGCATGAGTAGGGAAAAGATTAGAACACTAGACAGGAGGTTAAAAGGCCCAGATTCTCATTCTGCTTTTGATGTGCACTGAAGTTCCCGGACAATGCATTTATTTCACTGCATCTTTTTGTCATCAGCAAAAGAAGGTAATTAAAGAAGATGAGTGGATTTTTATGCTTTTTAAAAATTGGTGGTAGTCTTTTATCAATAAATCTTATACAAAACCAAGGTACATAAAAGAATCAAAGCAGAGCCATGTTTGAAGTGGGCAGAGAAGTCTATTCACCTTCTCCTCCACAGAGCCTGAGAGCACCATATAACAGAGTCTGAAATTACAGGCCTCCACATCTCCAAGGTGATTTCCAGCTCAGACATTCTATGAGGAAAAAAAGTTTCACCCCTATCTCCGCTTTTTTTAACAAGGAAATGTAATTTCATTCTGCTTGTCTAATGTGAATAAAAGGAAAGGAATATGGACTAGGGCATGGTCATGTACTAAATGACTTCACTTTGTTCTTCTGCCTTCATGAGGATATGCAAACAGAGGAAGTAAAGGAGAGCTCTGTACCTCAAAGTGGTCATCCCTCTACTCCTCCATTAAGCAACAAAACAAAACAAATGAACATAAAGAGAAAAGATAACAATGTTTCCTGACAAAACATCCCTCTCTTTTCCCCCATTCTCACCTCCATGAAAGAATCAAGGGAGTCCATGAGTTCCTCTTTAAACGCCATTCCTAAACCCCCAGAAATATTAAGGCAGGAGATTGAAGTATGATCTGGAAGAGAGAAGGAAGAGGAAATGGGTGTGTAAGATGAGGCCTTTCCAAGATGGCAGGCCTGGGTGTTGGAAGGTCAGCCTCTCCATCCTTAGACATCTTTTTTGGTGGCAGGCTTCTGTCATCCTTCTCATTGTAAAGGGTATGATATCAGAATTAATAAAATAAGCCCTTGACTTACTCAGATTCCAGGCTGTTTATGCCACAAAGTACGTGATGTCTTACAAATCACTAATTCTCACAGGTCCATACATGAAAAATCTACTATCTTCTTCATAAGAAATGTAATTTTTTTAAGTTAACAGTGCTATAAAAATATACATATGCCCTCTAGGGTACCCTCTAATCCTACTCCCTGTCCTCTCGCCTTATTTTATCCATTTTTCCTCCTCTTTTTATCCAAATATGGGGATAAAGGAAAGGGATTGTCTGAGTTCATTTCTGGAAAAGAGGTAGGTAAAAGGGGAGAAGAGGATTAACCATTCTTTTTTTTTAAACATACCTACTGTCCCTCCACTCAAGCCTATTTCGCTCCTCTTGAGGTGAATATTTGTTACTTCATTCAGAGATGAGTCAGCTTAGCTAATGAAAACATAAAGAAGTCAGGTTATGTTGTGTTCATTCAACTGAATTCCAGGGAATGCACTTAGTCTCACACTAAATGCAACCTAAAAAGAAAGAAATGTCTTATTCAGTGCTGAGTTACTTATCTAATCTGGGAAGCTCTATCAGAAGGCTGTTATTACAGTGAGGGATTTGTGGCAGAAATTGGGCCATGATGTATAAACAGCTGATAAGGATTGGCACTTATTTTAAAACCAGAAAGTTAACCATTAAAAAAAAGTATAGACTTGGGCGCCTGGGTGGCTCAGTCGTTAAGCGTCTGCCTTCGGCTCAGGTCATGATTCCAGGTCCTGGGATCGAGTCCCGCATTGGGCTCCCTGCTCCACGGGAAGCCTGCTTCTCCCTCTCGCACTCCCCCTGCTTGTGTTCCCTCTCTCGCTGTGTCTCTCTCTCTGTCAAATAAATAAATAAAATCTTTAAAAAAAAAAAGTATAGACTCATAGAAGAATTTTAGAGGGAAAGGAAGCTTAGATGTGTAACAAATTATGTCAGATCGAGTGGCTTAAAACAGCAATTATTTATATAACTCATGAATTTGCAGTGGAGAACGCTTGTCTTTGTTCCATGTGGCATCAGCTGAGGCTGATTGCTGGGAGTTGGAGCATCCACTTCCAAGGTGGCTCACTCACATGGCTGACAAGTTGGTGCTAGCTGTTGGCTCAGAGCTCAGTGGGAATTGAAGGCTTTTGAGAACTCTTTCTTTCTACCTGACCTGCTCTGTGGGCTGCATAGTGGCTGGGTTCCAAAAGTCAGAATCCCAAAATATAAGTGGAAACAGCCAGTTTCATGAGGCTTGGACTTTGAAACAGCCACAGCATCACATCCACTGAATTCCATTGGTCAAGCATTCTCAGAGAAACCAGATTCATGGGAAGAATGTAGACCTAACCTCTCAATGAGAGAAATATCAAAGAATTTTGGGACTATATTCTAAAACTGCCACAACGTGAGATAGAGTTGTGTGTAGTTGTGGAGGAGGGTATGTTATCGGAGGGATAATATGATCTGAAAGCAACATTGGGAGACAAGAGGACATATATCCCACCTTCATGCCCAGTGATATGAAAGCTACAAGACCTAAACTAGCCACCACTTGAGTGGGCCACAGAGGAAGCAGTGTCCTAAGCCAGAGTCCTCTTAATAGGAAGATAAAAGGAGAATTCAGAGAAGGGTTAAGAATATAAGGAATTTTACTGATCATGACCATGAATTGTGAGAAAGTGTTTTGAGACTGGGAAGGGTAGTAGAATATATGTGGGACCTTATAAGGATGTGAACACAGGAGAAGTGGAGTGATCTAAGAGTCCGGTGTTTGTGTTAGCAACACCTATGAGTGTAATGAGACTGAACTCCATGGATTCAAGGCAAGTAGCAATGGAAAGATGTATGACAAGCATTATCCATTAGATGTGTTTGTTATATAGCATATGAGGAATAAGGACCAAAGGTATAAAAGACCCCCGTAGATCAGCACAAAAGAGAAAACTCAAAAGGAAAAGTGACAAAAGCTAGTGAGGCACAGGCAATTCACAAAGAAGAATGTCTCAGTAAGATGCTCAATCTTACCAGAAATCAGAAAAACACAAATTAAAACTACAGCAAAGTATTATCTTGTTTATATAAGATTGGAAAAAAAAATCTAAGAGCCTGATGATATATCAACTATTGGTAAGAGTGCGAAGCAAATAATAACTTTCATATATTGCTGGTGGAAGTGTAAATTGACACACCAATTTAACAATATGCTTTGTGATGGGGCAATTTCAATTCTGAGTGTATTGCTCTAGAGAAATTCTTGCACATATGCAAGAGCATATATATACACCAGAATATTACTTGACAATATTTTTATGGTAGTGAAAAATCATAAACCACCACAGAGTCAAGAACAGGAGAATAGGTAAATATAATGTAGAATAGCCATATAATGTAATACTCTGTGGCAGCTTACATGAATGAATTAGAGCTATGCATATTAACACAAATACATCTCAAAAACATAGTAAGTTACAAAGCAATTTATGAAGGATGCATTCAGCATGATACTAGTTCCTCAATAAAATGGAATGACAGTGATACCTACCTTGTGGAGTTGTAAGATCATGAGTGAATACAAAGAAGGTGCTCAGAATAGTGCTGGGCATGTTGTAAACATTGCATGTGCTAGTTATTACTATTGCTACTATTATTGTTGTTGATATATAAAAAATTTTGCATAGAAATAATAAAATCTTATCAACCTATCTCATGATTGTGATTACTATTGCAGTGAGCTGCACAGAAGATGTCATCTCTTTCTACAATATTTACTTCTTAAAAAAAAAATGTTTGAACTTACCATGGTAAATCTCAGGAAGGGGATACATGGGTGTTGTGGATATGCATACTCCTAGCAATCCATGCTAACACTGTCATACCCTCCAGTTTTGCAAAAGACAGAAGCCAGCCACCCAGGACTTGCCCTATTTTCTTAAGATGTGCTTTGAAATGACTTCACTTACTTTCTAGGAATAGGAGGACCAATTATTCACATGTTTGACTCATCGGTGAAAAAGGAACCAGGGACTATTTTGAGTGACAGACTTCCAATTTAGTGGAAATTATAAAATTAACCTAAAACAACCCTCCCTCCAAAAGTATAAGATTTATCAGGTTAATCATGGGGACTGTAGGTAATGCTATCCTTAAAGGAACATTCTCTAAACTCTCTTTCTGGGCCTTATTTCCAGAGGAGAGATGTTGAATGTATGGTGGTCCAGGTAACACTCTTCAGAAGTGGACATTGTGAGGTGGCAAAGTGACAGAGAGATGCCCCCTCAAGCTGGGACCATCTCTGAAGAAGTCTATAGCACTTCAGTTAGAATCCTTTTAGTTAAGAATGTTGAAGCACCTGATGTTTGGGATTGAAAGATGGGCTTTTGGAAATCCCATCATAGGGATGGTGAACTTTCATAGTTTGATGAGAGAGATTTGGTAAAATACTAATATTTGAACTTAATTCCTCACCTTCTGAGTTAGTAACAAGTATGCTCTGCCTTCTCCTCAGAGCTGCGTAGAACATGCCTAATTTGTAGAGCAGAGTCTTAGGACCAAAGAGATCAGGCCCTGAGGAACAAGCCAAAAGTTTGGGAAGCAGGAAAGTCAATAGAAACAGACTCCTCTCATTTTGCATTTGTGTGCTGGGCCTGTTCTCTGCTCAGCTCACTCTTGAGTCCTGATCAGCTGACCAGCACCAGTCATTAATCCAGCCACACTGAGAGGATTACCTCTGTCCACAAATGATTGATTATCAAGTGGGCCAGCCTTGTGACTGTTCCAAAGCCCTTGAAAAAGGGCCCACAGATATCATGTTGTTGTTACAATCTAAGTGGGAGCCTGAACCAAGGCAGAGAAACAGAAAGCTTCCTACACAGTTTCCCCTCCCACACCAGCTCCAATCTTCTCTACACTGCATGATTCATTTCCGCTCCTTCCCACCTGAGGGAGTGGAAGAGGCTCTATCCAAGTGGCTGCTACCCAGAGGCACGCTTACTTAATTGCAGTGAAAGGCACATCATTAGGTTCAGTCCAACCAAAAGTGTGCTCTGTATTCCCAGCATTGATTTTGGTCCTCCCAAGAACACTGTAAAGTTAACCTTTATTGAGCACTTAAACAAGTGTTTTATATGTTTAGTTCACTTAGTCCCCACAATAATCCTCTGTGGTATGTATTATTATTATTATTATCATTTTCATTTTAAAGATGGGAAATTAAGTCTTAGATTAAGTACCAGAGTTACACAGTATGCAGCAGAATGAATGAGTATTTGAAGTTGAGTCTGTTAGTCTAATTCCAAAACTGGTGCTTTTAATGACTGTAAAATGGTATTTGGACCCACTCATCCTATGAAGCTTTTCTAATTACTGTGAGGAGTAGAAATTACAATAGGCATGAACAGAGGACGTTACCTCATAAGCAGATAATTAGGCACATTCCATTTGATATCATGTGGAGAATCTACAGGGAAAAAATTATTATCTGCAGCTATAAATCTTATCAGGGAGAGGTGAATAGAAAAGTGAGTAAGATCAGGGAACAATTAAGCTAAGGCCTACTCTAATTCCTCAGGGTTTCTGAGGTGTTTTCTTAGGTATTGTTTCCCAATCTTCTCAACAATGTGTTACCACTCCTTTGTCCTAATCATCTTTGATAACTGTCAGGGTGGGACTTCCAAGCTAGGACATTGAGAATTCCTGAAAAACATGGAGGAATGGCCTGATGGGGGATCGGGGGTGGCTGGAATAACTACAAAGATAAATATTCCAGTTACCCAGAAAATGGCTCAGGACGGTGAGAGAATTGATGATTCCCAAGTTGAGTCTTGAAAGACCACTAAGAGCAAATTGCAAGGTGAGGAGCATACAAGACTTGGTGAACAGCATGAACAAAGAGATGGAAAGAAGGAAAGAGCATGGGATTAGGGCTAACCACAAATAATTTGGTTTTCCTACAGCCTGAAACATAAGGTAGGAAATGAAAAAACTGAAGCTGAGTAGACAGGCAGAGTCCAGAAGATGGAGTTCATCTGGGGCGTGTTAAAGGAGTTCGGAGTTTAGCTTATGGCTGGTGGGAAACCATCAGATGGTTTCAAGCAGACAAGTGATAGGATCACATTTGCATTTTTAGGTATTTGGCTCTGAGAGCTGGGTAAGACTTTGGGGTAGAAACCCAGTAAAGAGACTGTTGTAATTGTCCTGGCAAGAGATGAGGAGGGACTAACTCAAATCAATGACAATGAAATTGAAAGCAGGGAAGCGTACAGGAGATATTTGGAAATGGAATCAGAAAGACTTGATGACTGACAGGATATAAGAACTCTACAAGTGAAAGAGAATGGTTTCGCTCACACTCTAGGGGTTTCCATATTAGCTACTTCAAAGACAAGAGAATTGCTTTTTCCCTTTCTCTCTGCTGATGAAGCACCAGGGCTAGCCCACTGTATCCTCTATTTATGTTCATGGCAACTTTTTAGGGATTGTATCACCCTTCTTTGTCCCAAGACCTGCGTGGGGAACTATGCTGGCTCACCCTAGCAGATCTTCCTAACTCAAAATCTCAAGAACAGGATTTGGAGTAATTTACTGTTTCCCACATGGAAGGATCCTCAGGAATCTTTAGGCAAATTGCTTTATCTTCTACCAAGAGCTCTGCATCCCATGAGGCTGTACAGCTTCAAAAAGTCAGTGAAAATGTGGCATGACTTCTTTCCCAGGATAGGAAATTGTCTACTATATATCTTTGCACCCAAGAAGAGATGCAAGTGACATTTTAACCGCCAGCAGTGTACTTGACTAAAGAAAGGGGGGAAAACTACTTTGGCTACATCAGCCTCTAAGTAACAGTTAAAACCACAGAAGTAGGTGAGAACATTCAGTGAGAAATGTAGAATGAGAAAAACGGCATGATGACGGATTCTAGGGAAACACCAACTTTTGAATTACGTGTGGACAAGAAGGCTAACATTGGGACTAAAGTAACAGGAACGTCAATAGAAAATTTTACTATAAAAACCCAGGGGCAGAACATTTTAAACTAGGAAATAGTAATGAATTGTCAAAGTTCAAATAAACTAAGGTCAATGTGAAGTGTCCATTAGGATTGGTTGCTGATGGGCTTAACAAGAGCTGCTTCAGTGGATTTACTGGGGTAACAGATTATTAGTAAATTGAAGTTTGAATGGCAGGTAAAGAAATGGCTGAGGTAAGTAGAGGGGAGAAATGCTGTATAAGCATGGGTATCCACTGATGGAAAGGAGCCAGTGGAGAAGGGCAGGCTAAAGAAAGAAGAAAGAGTGACAATAACTGATGGAGCTGGGTCCTGTGGGAGACAGGAAGAGCTGGGATCCAGAGCACAGAGGAGTGTGCTCTGAACCAGAGAAATGGCAATTCATTTTGCTCTACAAATGAAGGAAAGTGTGGGGAGGGGTGGGGGAGTATGAATGTAGATATCTATATAGAGAAACAAGAAGTTTAAATATTTCATGCTTGATTGCCTCAAATAAAAAAGTCAGTATTTAGTGCTGTCTTGCACTGATGTTATAGTGACCCTAATCCACAGGGTTGGGTGATTCTCTTCAATGGTACCCAAACCCCTGGTTCAGGAACAAGGGTAACCTAGACCCTTGATACAGGGTTGGTTGAGTAAGTATGGCAGCAGATGTGTAAACACTGTGACTTTGCATTACAGTTAAGTTGCTTGAAACTGTACCATCAAATCACATAGTGACCCATCACTTAGATTATTTATTCTACATACACTCCATACATCAGCATTTTTATTTGCATGTAGCTTTTTTTTCTGCATGAAAAAGAAGCAGAGGCTTTTTATTGTTCTTCCTGAGGTAAAGAAAGGAAATATAGCTCTTTAAAAAAAATTATTTTATTATTTTATTTTATTTATTTTTAGATAGAGAGAGAGAGTAGGAAGAGGGCCAGAGGGAGAGGGAGAGAGAGAATCTCAAGCAGGCTCCATGCTCAGCACAGAGCCTGACACAAGGCTTGATCTCACAACCCCGAGATCATGACCTAAGCAGAAATCAAGAGTTGGACGCTTAACCCACTGAGCCACCCAAGTGCCCCAGAAATACAGCTCTTTTGACAAGTTATTTTCTTTTGATAAGTTGATCTAAAGCCAATCCCATGTATTTTGTTTGTTAATATTTCCTCAGAGTCTGAGGTTCTCAAGATTCATTGTCAGGCTATTTCAGAGGCTAATAAATGTCACCACTTTATGGATAGCCAATTCAAATAAAATGGATTATCATCAACTTAGTAAAAGGTACTATAATTGATTGAGTGCTTACCCCTTTGTACAGAATTAAGAGCTTCTGTGGACAGTAGCAGGAGTTCATGATTAGGAAAGAGAAACAAGTTAAACTTATAGAAAACGAGCTTATTAATAAAGAGGTTGAATTGTTCAATGTCACTGGATAAACCTCTATTCAGTTCTGGGACTGTAAACAGGTTGGATAAAAGAGAAGGAAGCAAAATGGGAACAAAACATTATGGAAAGTTAGTTCTAGACCTCAAGTAATTTTCATGGAATTTGGGACAGCAAAACTTAATCCTTTCTACATACTGAACAGTCAGTGAACAAACACTTTTTAATAGAATCCTTAGTCTGTTCTGTCAAGCAGGGGTCTGGCTACAAATTTATAACACTAGAGTTAGACATGTATTTAAAGTAGAGCTGGCCTCTGAATGCAAGATACCTTTGCTTAAATGAATGTCGAAGAATTTGAGGAATGTTGTAGAACTGAAATGTGAAGCTAGGAAAGTTGCTTTGGCTCTGTCAGAGACAAAAATTGTTTAAATACTTTAAGGCTTAGAATACCTATGAGGGTATGTGCCTCAGTGTCAAGTTAGGGGAAAATCAGTTTCAGTGGAATTCAAACTGGGTCAGCCTGCTCTAGATAAAGTGGAAAATGCTAAAAGCCATAATGAGGCTAGGGAACTGGGTTAGAGGTTAGTTTCCTGTCTTTCTGGGGTGAAGTTCTCTCTGTGCTCCTCTCTTGGGATACAACCTGGCAGATCTGAAGAACACGATGCATATGAACCATCAGGGCAAAGGGAATACGTATAAAACTGCTTAACCTCCCTGCCCTGACTTTTACTTTCCTCAAAGCAACAGCTTTCTCTCATTCCATATCCTCTAAGCAGCTGCACCTAAATTCATTTTCACATCCTGGACTGGCTCTCTCACTCTCCTACAGCGTACATTCAAACCATTTCTCTTGGGTCCACTTTCCTTGGGCTCTTTGGAATCTGACCTTGCCAGTGGAATGCCTAAACAAATGCTTCATTATAGAAAATCCATTAGGGTTTCCTTTTTATTTTATTTTACTTTTTTAAAGATCTTATTTATTTATTTGACAGAGAGAGACACAGCGAGAGAGGGAACACAAGCAGGGGCGGGAGGGAGAGGGAGATGCAGGCCTCCCCCCGAGCAGGGAGCCCAATGTGGGGCTCGATCCCAGGATCCTGGGATCATGACCTGAGCCTAAGGCAGACGCTTAATGACTGAGCCACCCAGGCGTCCCAATTAGGATTTCTTTTAAAAAATCAATTAAAATATGCATATGTGAAACCATATCTCAGTATCTTCTCAACCGAGTTAAATCCCATGGAGTTTCTTTCTTCAAAATTAACGATTTACGTCTCTCTGACTGTCCTTTTATTGCAACATGGTCATAGTATATCGCAGCCAGAATTGGCCAGAGGCAGAAAACAGGATGGCAAGTTTCCCTGGCCAAGTCTCCAGAGAGCTTTGTGAGCATCATCACAGCCAACTGTTGACTTTCAGTTTATATAAATCCCAGGGCAGATTGGAAAAATTGTTATTGTTAAAAACAAATTGAAGAGAACTATGTGTGAATCTAAGCATTCCCCAGGATAAAGAGAACAAGAACACAGTATCATTCCCACTTGGATCAACAGGAGCTCCAATCACTTAAGACAATAGGAGAGGATATACTTTTTTCAAGGGAAGTCTCTCTGAACATTGATTTCACACTAGGTGTGCACCTGATATAAATGATTTTGAAGATACACAGATCAATGAAGGTATAACCAATATAAATTAAATGCACAGGTCTCTGTAAAGTTATGCCATTTTGCTCCCAGAAGGAAATCACTACGTGTGTCATGAAAATAAATTTCAATTTTAGCTTTCCTTTGCTCTCAAAAGGTTTTACGTCTCAAAACTTTGCTTTTTAAAAATATATAAATTTTGGGGACGCCTGGGTGGCTCAGTCAGTTAAGCGTCTGCCTTCAGCTCAGGTCATGATCCCAGGGTCCTGGGATCGAGTCCCACATCGGGCTCCCCGCTCTGCCGGGAGCCTGCTTCTCCCTCTGCCTCTGCCTCTCTCTCTCTCTATCTCTCATGAAAATAAATAAAATCTTTAAAAAAAAATAAAAATATATAAATTTTGGTTTAACTAAAGAGTTAAGAAGACTTCTGTGAATAGATGACATCAAAACCTAGTGAAATTTGGATTATTATCATCATTAATACTATTGACATAAAGAAATGTGGGTTATATCAGTGCCCACAACTCAGTGACTAGCACTTAGTAAAAGGTCATCAAAAACAGATGAGTAAGTTGGAAATAAATGAAATAAGAGAACGCAACTTTTTTTGTGGTGATGACCTGTGGGACTCTAGAAGCTAGGAAACTATTATTCTCCTTGCTGCTCTATTTGTCCTTCCTTCCTTCCATCTTTAAAGTGGGCTTAGTTTTTTGTAAGACCATGTTTTAAGTTTATTTGAATGCAAGTTTTTACTTATTGTAAAATTTTCTTTCTTTGGGGGAGAGAGAGGTACTGGATGAAAAAGTAATATCAAATATTATATCATATTATAGGAAGACATGATTTAAGATACTCTGAGTCAGGCACTTAATATTTTTTTTAAAAGATTTTATTTATTTATTCATGAGAGACAGAGAGAGAGAGAGGCAGAGGGAGAAGCAGTCTCCCGAGGAGCAGAGAGCCTGATGCGGGACTTGATCCCAGGACCCCGGGATCATGACCTGAGCCGAAGGCAGACACTTAACCATCTGAGCCACCCAGGCACCCAGGCACTTAATATTTTACAAAAGGATAAAGTTTTAACGTGGCTTAGCAGTGGCAGATGTGAAAGCTTGATGCTGTGTGGGCTCTAGAGTACACCACCGGGGTCAAATTCTGGCTGCAATATACTATGACCATAGACAAGGTATTTAACTTCTTTAAGCCTTAATTTACTTATCTGTAAAACTGAACAACACCAGTACCCACCTCTTGAGGTTGTTGTGAGTCTTGCTCCATGTAGCACTAAGAACATGTTCAAAACTGTTAGCTTTATACGTCTTTCTTCAATTTCCTAGGAAATTCAAAGTTCTCTTGGATTCTCTAGATAATTGTAGCTATTTGGATGTGAATACAGACTGTAGAAAAGAGGAGAGCCATGCAAAGAAGTGAGTCTGGAGAGAATGATATTCCTAGGATTGCTGTGTAGATTCTTCATAGCAGGAGGTACAGAGAATATTTAAAAGCAACAAGAGTGTTTTTGGGTCAAGGGGAAGGGCTTGATTTGGACCAGCTGCTGGCCTTTTTAATGAAAGGAACTTCCATGGCAAAGAGCACTCTCTGAATGCCTGCCAAAGTTGAGAATAGCACTGACTACAGAACTCCCTTGAGTAGAAATAGAAGCACTTTGCTGTAAGGTGGGCCCCTCCTTCAAGGCACAAAAATGCCATCTCTAAATGCCTCCCTGACCACCATTTTTTTGAATTGCAGTTCTTACCTCCTCCTTCCTATCAACCCCTGCATTCTCAATCCCTCATTCCTTGCTATATTTTTTTTCTCCATAGAACTTGTTTTCTAACCTATTTTATATTTTTCTTACCTGAGTGTTCATTATTTAAAGTCAGTCTTTCTTCACTTGAAGTTACACAGGACAGAGAAGTAGGTCTGTTTTGTTCATGGATTTATCTCTAAAGCCTAGAATGGTGCCCGGTACATAGTAGGAGCACTTTATATATTTGTTGATCAATGAATGAATGAATGAATGAATGAATGAATGAATGATTCATTGGATGGAGGGAACATGGGGAAGTAGAATGATTTGACATGGTTCCTCACTTTTTAATTATTTAGACCACTCGTGCTTTTGAGGCCAACCCTGACACAGTAGCTCATCAAGAGAGAAAGTAGAGGACTGAAATAAACAAACAGAAAGAAGGGCAAGAAGTTCTGCTCTATCATGCTTTCAGTCTCCTTTGAAAGCTGCTGGTTGGATTTAGAAGAAAAAGCCTTTGCATTTCAGATTTTCCCTTCCCCAGTCCCTGGACCGAGCAGTGTAAAAAGGACTATGGCAGATCTCTGTATCTCTGTTTGTGGCCAGCACCCAAAGAGGTGTACGAGAATCTGTGGGAAGCAGACCTGAGGGCAAATTCCTCTCAGTCACACCTCTTTCTCTGCGTGATTGGTGTACATAGTGTGAGGCTTTATACCTCATTGAACAGAGATGTGTGGGCACCTCTACAGGACATGCTCAGATTCTCAGAGTCCTGTCTTAACATGATTTATTCATTGACTCTATCAACTTATCAGTAGGTTTCAACTGAAGTTTCATTTGTGGTAAGTGCTGATGACAAAGCCTAGGATAGTTCATCTAGTTGTTTCCAGAAGATGGGGCATACCCACCACTGACCAGTGGAAAACCCATAGCCAGGAAACAGTTCTTTATAAAGTATGTGGTTCTAAAGTAACCAACTAGCTGACTAAATCTTCATCTGTCTAGCTAGATGACTAATAAATAAACCACCTATGATAGCCAGAATAGGCTGTAGATGGTAACAATTTAGACATACATATATGAATGTTATTAACCCAAGAACCATATACAAACTAATCCCTGATTATCTCTGCAGCCCTATTTCCCTCTAGTCCCTAGATCACTAGCAGCACACACACACAGCAGTCTGTTTCTGCCTTTCATTGTTTTAACTTCTGCTTCAAATGCCTTCTTTTCCTGTCAGCCTATCTAACAATGCTTGATATTTTTATGACCTAGCTTAATCTCTCCCTGACACATGGTTTCATTCTGGTAACTCTGGTTTCTCATACCTCACCTTCCTCTGAACAACACTTATGCCCACATCCCAGAATCTTAAGCTCAACGGTCTTGCCCTGCTTCAGGTTTGTAGTGATGGTGTGATGACTGTCTAGCACTATGATGTTGGACAGGTCACAGAACCTCTCTTGGTTGCTTTTTTTCTTCTTTATTTCTCCTCCTTGGTGCCAGTTTCCTCCATTTCAGTCCTATACTAGAATAATTCTGCTGAAAAAATAAAAGTGATCATGTCATTCCTTATCTTAAATAGCTTCTGTTTTCCCCCTATTGCCTCTGGGATAGAATCCAAACAAGTTTTAGCTTAGCAGTCAGGACTCTTCAAAATCTCATCCCAACCCACCTTTTCATTTTCCCCCCTGATAGCCTGTCTTTATATTTTGCTCTTTGAAATACCACTTTGTTCTTTGCAATTCCTTCTCCCTGTGATATCCTAACCAACCCCTCCCCGTCTTTATTCATCTTTTAGAACTCCAATTCAAAGGTTGCCTTCTCAATATTTATACCATTTTGTTCATATTACTACAATATCTAACAGCATTTAACTCATAACATTCATTAATTTATCAGACATTTACTGGACATTTGTTATGTTTCAGAGATCAGTGCTGAATACTGAAGACACTGATATGAAAAGTATCTCAAAAACTCAAGGAACTTTCAGTCTAGTGGAGAACAGTGACAAATAATGAATAATCACAATGCCATGAGATAAAATCAATGCTATACATATGTATAGGTTGCGATAGGAACATTGAGGAAATCTGCAAGCCTATTTTGAATGCAAAGTGAGGAAGTTAGGAAAGTTTTCAGGGCTGAAATGATAATTATTAACATGTCTATTTCCCAATTCAATAAGGGCAAGTATTATATCTTCATCATTTTGTGTCCCTTGTGACTAGCAGAGTACCTGAAACACAGCTGATTGAATGAATAAATGAATGGATTAATTGTAAATAAAGGAGGTTGGGCCAAAGGAACTTGAAGTAACTTTCAAAATCTAAAACTATGAAAGCCATCTTTGTGGAAGTTACTAATATATTACAAAGATAATGTTTTGCCCAGAAATGGACCCTCAACTCTATGGTCAACTCATCTTCGACAAAGCAGGAAAGAATATCCAATGGAAAAAAGATAGTCTCTTCAACAAATGTTGTTGGGAAGATGGGACAGACACATGCAGAAGAATGAAACTGGACCATTGCCTTACACCACACAATAATAGACTCAAAATGGATGAAACACCTCAATGTGAGACAGGAATCCATCAAAATCCTTGAGGAGAACACAGGCAGCAACCTCTTTGACCTCAGCCGCAGCAACTTTTTCCTAGAAACATTGCAAAGGCAAGGGAAGCAAATGCAAAAATGAACTATTGGGACTTCAAGTTAAAAAGCTTTTGCACAGCAAAAGAAACAGTCAACAAAACCAAAAGACAACTGACAGAATGGGAGAAGATATTTGCAAATGACATATCAGATAAAGGGCTAGTATCCAAAATCTATAAAGAACTCATGAAACTCAACAGCCAAAGAACACATGATCCAATCAAGAAATGGCCAGAAGACATGAACAGACATTTCTGCAAAGAAGACATCCAAATGGACAACAGACACATGAAAAAGTGCTCAACATCACTTGGCATCAGGGAAATCCAAATCAAAACCTCAATGAGATACCACCTCACACCAGTCAGAATGGCTAAAATTAACAAGTCAGGAAATGACAGATGTTGGCGGGGATGCGGAGAAAGGGGAACCCTCCTACACTGTTGGTGGGAATGCAAGCTGGTGCAGCCACTCTGGAAAACAGTATAGAGGTTCTTCAAAAAGTTGAAAATAGAGCTACCATACAACCCAGCAATTGCACTACTGGGTATTTACCCCAAGGATACAAATGTAGTGATCTGAAGGGATATGTGCACCCCAATGTTTATAGCAGCAATGTCCACAATAGCCAAACTGTGGAAAGAGCCTAGATGTCCATCAACAGATGAATGGATAAAGAATAAGTGGTATATATATATATACAATGGAATATTACACAACCATCAAAAGATGAAATCTTGCCATTTGCAATGATGTGGATGGAACTAGAGGGTATTATGCTAAGCAAAATAAGTCAATCAGAGAAAGACAAGTATCATATGATCTCACTGATGTGTGGAATTTAAGAAACAAGGCAGAGGATCATAGGGGAAGGGAGGTAAAAATCAAACAAGACGAAACCAGAGAGGGACCAAACCATAAGAGACTCTTAATCTCAGGAAAAAACTGAGGAGTGGGGGAGGTGGGAGGGATGGGGTGTCTGGGTGATGGACATTGAGGAGGGTATGTGCTATGGTGAATGCTATGAATTGTGTAAGATTGATGAATCACAGACCTGTATCCCTGAGACAAATAATACATTATATGTTAATAAAAAACAACAACAACAAACAAGGATAATGTTTCAAGCTTTAAGGATTAAAATCAAATACAACTTGTTAACAAAAGCTTTTTCGCAACTGGTTTGCCACCAGAACACAGGTGTTGTGAGAATCACTGCTCAACCAAACCAAAATTGGAAAGGAAAAGACTCACATCAACATCGTTGTCATTGGACACGTGGATATGGGCAAGTCTACCACTACTGGTCATCTGATCTACAAATGTGGTGGGATCGACAAAAGAACTATCGAAAAATTTGAGGAGGCTGCTGAGATGGGAAAGGGCTCCTTCAAGTATGCCTGGGTCTTGGATAAACTGAAAGCTGAACATGAACGTGGTATCACCATTGATATCTCCCTGTGGAAATTCGAGACCAGCAAGTATTATGTGACCATCACTGATGCCCCAGGACACAGAGACTTTATCAAAAACATGATTACAGGCACATCTCAGGCTGACTGTGCCGTCCTGATTGTTGCTGCTGGTGTTGGTGAATTTGAAGCTGGTATCTTCAAGAATGGGCAGATCCGTGAGCATGCCCTTCTGGCTTACACACTGGGTGTAAAACGACTAATTGTTTGTGTTAACAAGATGGATTCCACTGAGCCACCCTACAGCCAGGAGAGATACGAGGAAATTTTAAGGAAGTCAGCACCTACATTAAGAAAATTGGCTACAACCCTGACACAGTAGCATTTGTGCCAATTTCTGGTTGGAATGATGACAATATGCTGGAGCCAAGTGCTAACATGCCTTGGTTCAAGGGATGGAAAGTCACCCGTAAAGATGGGAATGCCAGTGGAACCACACTGCTTGAAGCTCTGGACTGCATTCTGCCACCAACTCGTCCAACTGACAAGCCCTTGCGTCTGCCTCTCCAGGACATCTACAGAATTGGTGGTATTGGTATTGTCCCTGTGGGCCGAGTGGAGACTGGTGTTCTTAAACCTGGCATGGTG